CTTTGTTCTATTGTGAAGAAAATACATGTTTATGATGTTTGCAAATCATTACATTCTGTTTAATTTAGATTTTACTTAACGTCTCAACCTTTGGGTTGGAGTTTTATGATGAAGATGTGAAAACAGCCTAACTAGTATCACCTGAGAATCTGACTGGATAGATAAAATATAAATTGCTCAGTCTGTGTCAGAGAGGTGTGCACAGTTTAATACACCTGATTCAAATGAATGATAAATGAGCTTCTGCAAAACTTGGAAGAACTGCTGGAGCAATAAAACGACCAGGACTGAGCACCACTGCTTTAAATCAAAGATAAATGGCTTGAATTGGACTTTATTCAGACACAAATACAAATAATTACGAGGCTGGAAGCTCTTTATTTCTCAGAAATATATTACCATGTGGGCATCTGCAAGGCACTCAAACCTCCAAAGCAGAGCCAACATCTACTTCTCCAAACTACCAGCCATTTATTATCTTTTATAGGTGGTTTTCATCCATCATCACCCATAAAAGCTGAGCCATAAAGTCTGATTTTTACACATAGCCGTCTTTCTGTGTTTACATTGTTTGCTGTGAYGTGAAAGCCCCAGATGTTTGTTCTTGAGCCACAATCAGACCCGAASGAGACGCCACAGCTCCATCTAGTGGATGATTTTAGTAACTGCTCACATTTGTCACATCTGTCAAAAACAGGGATTTTATAGAAACTCTGTATTGTTTAACCYCTTTTTAAATTGTGCAGCAGGTGTTTTAAAAGTGGATTTGTGTCTGGCAGGTTCACAGGAAGTGTGGCACTCCGAGCAGGAGGACTGCTCAGCCGGTCAGTGTCCAGGAGAGCAAAGTGTCCACCCCGCTTATAGCTTCTAACCGAGCATCAGGAGCCTCGCTCGCTGGCAGGAGAAGGTGAGTAAAGATGAGAGCACAGAAAGATTTACAGCCRACGTGAGCAATCTGAGTGCCCTTTTTATTTCTCAGGGAGTTTCTGAGCAGCCTGCGCTCCTACCTCACGTTCTACATCGGCCTGCCGGATCAGCTGTGTGTGCGTGAGCTGGCGTCTGGTGACGCACCCTGCTGGAATGGGACCGACATCGTGAAAAGGTTGGTTTTAAAGTGACTAATAGTGCAGCTTGGTCTCAGACAGCTCTTTTATGCTCCATCAGGATGTTTTCCTTAGTTCTGTTTGCTTTCTTTCATTAACACTCTGTGAAGCAGGGGCGGAGTCAGAGGAGGTGGCCGGGGTGCCACCCCCTGGCCCCTGATTGGCCACCCCTGMTGCCGCCCTCAAAATAACACGTGAGGTGGGGATCACATCTGGTATTTCAAAGGTGGGCAGTTAAAGCAAAAAAGGAGCAAATATCTGTGGTTGTCTATTTTATTTATTTATTTATTTATTTGTTTATTTATTTGTTTATTTATTTGTTTATTTGTTCATTTATTTATTTATTTATTTACTTATATTTAAAACAGTTTTAGCAAAAACTAATAAAACAAGTAACCTTTAGGACAAGAAAAAATGTGCATACATAACCAAAAAATTGAACGAGTGACTGAGTAAGTAAATATATAAATGAGTGAGTAAGTGAGTAAATATGTCAAGTGAGGGAGTGAGTAAGTATGTAAATGAGTGAATGAGTAATTGAATAAATTAGTAAGTACGTGAGTGAGTAAGTAAATACATTTTATTTATAAAAGCACCTTTCACAGACATAATCACAAAGCATACAATAGAAGTCAATGTTAAATTATAAAAAGAATAAAACAAACATAAACAGTACAATTACCTATAACTTCATATATTTGATTTTAGATCCTGTTGGGCGACACAGCTACCACTACAAAAAAAATTTCAGCCTAATATCCCCAAAAACGTCAGATTTTTCCTTTTTTAYCTTAGGCGGCCATCTTGTAAATTTGATTTTAAATCAGCGTCTCTTAGGGATCGCTCTCAGCTACCAACACACCAAGCTTCAGCTCAGTAGCTCTGAAAACATCAGAATTATAGCCATTTGAAATTAGCTGTGGTGGCCATTTTGGATTTATTTATTTGATTTTAGAGTCTGTTGGGCATCACTCTGTAACCATAAAACTAAATTTCAGCCTAATATCTCTAAAAATGTCTGATTTATTTCTTTTTAGCTTTAGGCGGCCATGTTGGATTTTCAAATCAAGAATAATTTTTTTTGTTTGTGCCCCCCCTAAAAACGCATTGACCACCCCTTGCGAAAAAGTCTAGCTCCGGCCCTGCTGTGAAGATGCTTTCTGATAGACGTGTGACTGTGAGAAACACACACACTAACACACACAGCCTTCATAAACACACARATATCCAGGCCTCACAGACGACATGACGCTGATGCAGAATTCATCTATTAGCTGTGAGCGCCTGCAGACGTAGATCCTGGATATGGATGGCTGTGAAGGGGAGCAGAAAGTCTTTGGCCTCTTTCATGGTATCAGTCAGTGGCCTTGTCTCCATTACATCACAGCTCTCCATCTTACACATGCTGTCATCAGTCAAGAACCCCCCCTCACCTTCATATATCGTCAGCCTGGGGTTGTTCCTCTTCGCTGTCAGCTGCCGTCAGTGTGGAGACGTCAGGTGGGCCGGTCAGGTTTAAGCTGTCTGCTGTACGGGATGACAGCCGAGGRTGTTCCAGAGTGATGTGTGGATGTGAAGGTGTGAAAGTAGCCAGAGCTCCTTACAAATATTTTTTTACAGCACCGGCTTGTAAAATTTGAGCTGATGTGTCGAGTCGATTAGCATAAAATCGCAGATTTAATTTAGAGTAACTTGAGCACAGAACGACTGCTGAAGACGCTAAAACAGAGCTAAAGTGAAATCAGCTAAAAACTAAAAGCAGCAGAATGTTTTTTAAGTTATAGGCAGTGGAACAGTAAAGGCTAAAAGAATCAGTTTTAGCTCATGTTCTGACATGAGCTAAAACTAGCAAAACAGATGCTAACATGAACATAGCATTAGCTAAAAGGTAAAGGAAACAAACTGAAACTGTTAAATTAGCAAAACATTAGCTACAAGCTAAAAGTAGCAACTCTAAACTTAAAATTTARGGTCTGATTGCCGATTCAGCTTTCACACAACATATAAAGTTCAGATCAGCTCAAGGTTTATGTTTATTTACAAATATTTACATGATGACATCATAAAATGAACCATTAGTGAACAAATCCAGTTAAAACTTGTTGAAAAAAAACGTGAACAGAGACTGCTCTTCCTGGAGTCCAAAAAAACATAAAACACATTAAAACAAATTAACACAACGAAAAAGCAAAACAATCAGTAAAGGCAAAAAAAAAAAAAAGGGCTAAAGAAACACTCAAAAGACTTTTGACCGCTGAATTCTTTATAATTTTTCAATCTAATGTAATTGGTAGTAGTAGTAGTAGTAGTAGTAGTAGTA